GCTGTGTAAACACCACCCCAGTTCAAACAGAGAGAAAAATGCTTCTCATTTTATAGTGAATTTTTATCCCTGTACATTCAATTCCTCTGCCCTGGCCCAAACAGCAGCCAATCTGCCTGCCTGCCACTGTTGGTTAGAATTGTTTGCTGTAAACCTCCATATAAATGGAACTGGATTTTTGTCTTTCTCCAGATTTAGTTTCTTTTTTATATCATAATGTTTTGTATGTGTGTGTGCATGCGTGCATGCGTGTGTGCATGTGCGTGTGCGTGTGTGCGTGTGTGCGTGTGTGTGTGTGTGTGTGTGTGTGTGTGTGTGTGTGAGAGAGAGAGAGAGACTCATCTGGATTTATTGCAGATGCAAGCAATTTGTTGTTTTTGCACTGTGGAAAATATAGCTGTAAATTATTTTGTTTAACCATAGAATTCAGATTTTTCTTCCATAACTATAAGACATTTTTTTTTAAATTAACAGTATAGGTTAAAATGTTTCCTTTCTTCCACAAGAAAATGCTATGGATTACTAGTTTCTATTACGATACTAGTTGGATCTGTAGAACTGATACATACGAGACTGCACTGAGCACTTGATCACAGTACTCCCATAAAACAGGCTGTGGACTTAATCAAAGAGAAAGGGAGGGTATGACAGTGGATGCTGCAGTCCTTTAGCTATGCACTCCTTCAGGGACTATTGTCCTTAATGCCAGCAGTGCAGCTTGCCGAGGGGTGAGAGCTGAGACCTCTCAGGGAACTCTTCTTAGAAGATGGTAACTGTGAACCCTTGCATTACGCAACTATCTGCACATTGACTGAGAACAGAACATTGAACAGCTGAGAGATGGATGATAGGGAGGCTAGGACCACTTGCTAAATGTGTAGTAGCTGTGATAATATTGCAGGGTTTGGAATTACCATCATAGCATCTTTGAACAGTGATAAGTGTGGACCTTTACCTTTAAAAAGCACTTTTTAAAAAAAGTGTGTGCACTTGTCACAAAAATTAAAGGTTGTCTTTTATAGTTGAATGGTGGGTGCAGAGGCAACTAAGATCACACAGATTTGTGAGGCAGATGTGGATGAGTAAACTTGGAACTTGTGCCTGGGACTGAGTTCCAGTGATGTAACCAGTGAGCAGGGAGCATGCAGTTTGGTTTAGCAAGGGGATGCTTTCTTTATTAGTCATGCTTCTTAGGAACAGAATTGCACACAGAACACAGAAAATTTACATTGTGTTCAAATGTTTCCTAATATATCTAGTGTTGGGACAAACTCGTGCTGCTAAATAAGCCTCAAGGCAGAGCAGACTGTTCTGGTCTGCTTCCCATACCTTCTGTCTCTGTTTGGTGGAGATCTTCATTTTGAAAATCATCTCCCGCAAGTTGCTGTACTACCTACTCTCAACACAGAACTATGGGTAAAGATTGCTCACTTTCTTGTCTGCTATCTTCCTTCCTTTCTTCTTTTCCTTCCCTTCCCTTCTCTTCCCTTTCTTTTCCTCCTTCTCTTCCTCCTTCATTCCTTCCTTTCTCTTCCTCTTTTCTTTCCTTCTGTCCCTTCCTTCCTTTCTTTCTTTCCCCCACTTTTCTCCCCCTTTTCTCTCCCTCTCATCTATTCTTCATTCTTTTCTTTCTTCTTCGCTCCCTTCCTTCCTTCTCTATTCTTTCATTCATTTTCTTCCTCTTTCCTTTCTCCATTTTTTCTTCTTTTCTCCCTTTCCCCCTCTCCCTTCCTTCCACCCTTCCTTCTCTTCTTTCTTCTCTCTGGCCACTCTCTGCTTGTAGACAATATTGGTGACTGAATTCAGGGACCCACACATGCTAGATAAGTGTTTTTTGATAAAGGGCTAAATTCCAATCTTTTTATACTATTAATTGAAAAGCATTCAATGTATTCTCTTTAATGATAATTTACTAATCCATCATCCTGGCTGATTATCCACTCCACTAGAAATTTTGAGAGACACAAAGTGTCATTTTGAAATGAACACTACATTGACTACTAGTCACATGTGCAGTAGATCACTATAACATGTTCCTCCCATCTAACTGAAACTTTGCACTCTTTTATTAATGTACCCCTTTTATAATAATCCTTCCTTTCACACCTGACTTTGGTTATATCACTCTGTTCTGCTTCATTAGCTTTGTTTGATTTTGCATACTCATTCAATTCTGCATATAAACAAATTCACATTATAACTGTTTTTCTGGGTTCATTATATTTATAATTTTCTCTAACTTCAATCATGTTGTAGAAAATGGGAATTTTCTTCTTTGTGAAGTGAAAGAGAATTCTATTAGTATATGTACCATGTTTTCTTTACCCACCCGATGAGCACTTTGATGCCTTATGTTCACTATTATGAATAATGCTACATCGAATAACAGGGTAGAGATGGCATAAGAAATATTCCTTTGGAAACTTCGATATACACTGAAAAGTGAGCTTGCTAGAATATATAGAAGTCCTATTTATGTTTTATCCTGTAGATGTCTTACCAATTTCCATAATGTCTCTATAATTTACATTCACTCTTGTGGTGTACATTGTCCCAACACTTGCTGTCCTCAAACTTTTATAAAACAGGCGTTAGAAAAATCATTGTGATTATTTCACTGTGATTTCATTTGTACATCCCCTGATGGCTTCTAATGCCATGACAATTTTCATAAATATGGTCATATATTGGTTTTTATCTTGAGAAATATCTTTCTAGGTCCTTTCAAGTTTCCTTCATATGTTTTTATTTTGTGTTGTAATTGAGTTCTTTGATTTCTTTAAATATTTTGGGTATGGGCTTGTAAAATATTTTTGAGACATAGATTTTCCCCTACTTTCTAAATATCCTTTTCAAAAAGAATGAAAATAACTGTTTCAAAATATTTGACCTCTTTCAGCTTCCTCCTCTGTGGCATATATAAAGTTTAAAATACTAACAATCCTGAAATTAACATTTCTGAGTTATATATCTTCAGGGGATACCAGGATCATCATATAAATTATGCTCTTTTATCAAAATTGTAAATTTTACTTGTAGAAGTGTCATTAAAATTAAAAACCTGTAATTTTGGAGTCCTATTTATTACTTTATAAAACCATATTGGAAGCAGGATGGCAGAGCTAAGGAAAGGAGGGAATATCGGGAGGGACATCTAACATACGAAAAGCCATATGAAAGGAATTTAAATGAAGACACAATATGATGGGGGGGGGGCGATGCCCCAACTAGACATCGTCAGCCAGTAAATAGACCTCATAGTGCTGGTAATAGATTACATCTTCTGAGCAGTTTGTCAAAACGGTCCTCTAGATAGTCCAAACACCACAGTGTATTGTCAGGGCTGTTGCTGAGAACACCATGTGCTTAGGTCATTGGAAATGGAGAAATAAAGCGGGTGCCCAGCTAGATGCTGGACCTCTACTGACTTGTACTCACGGTGCCGGAATATACTTTGCACACCACAGGAGGAAAAAAGCAATCATCAGTATCATCTGGATAAAAACCCCGAATCCTACAACGGAGACCTGACTGCAAGGTGTACTGGTGCAATAATAGCACAAACATTTTAGCAATAACAAGACACTTTTTGATGTATTTAATGCAGATAGAACCATATCTAACATTTATAAAGTTACCAAGAACCTGAAACTAAATAGTTCATGGGCCTGAAACGAATGTCTAATACTATTATTTTGCTAAAGAAACATATACATAAAATGACTCCCAATAACATATTGCTACGTCACTAGATTAATGCAGCATACAGCCCTCATCAGAGAAACTTCTTATAGTAGATGGTAATTAACACAGAGACCCACAAGCGGCTAATATGTAGAAAGGTACACAGTCTTTAATGGGATATCTTTATCAGCTTACCTCTTTCCTGTGCTGGAGAATCTATGTGGAAGAAAAGGCAGAAACATCTCCCTTAACACAACAGGACTTATACATATATGAACAAAGAGAGACTATAACATCACATGCAAGACACACAAATTCAAACCAGACACCCGCCCCCCAAAAAATCTCAGCACTGAGAAGAGGAAGTAGCACAAAGTCCCACCCCTAAACAAGAAGCAATTTTGCAAGTGACACCTGCTATGGAAGGAAAAATCAGTTTCCTCCAACAGAGTGTTGGAGAAATGGATATATCAACCATTCTCCAGGGCAGGCCCTATTCATAGGAGTAGTTGGATAGCACAAAATGATTTCATGTTTTTAGAAATTAGATAGTTAGGGAGGCAGAAGTATCTGGGAGGATTTTGACAAGGGGAAAGAATGTGATCCAAATAAAGTGTATAAAATATTTTAATTAAAAATAAAATGAAATAAAGCCTGCAAGGTTCAAAAGAATTTGAATAAAAAATAAAAATATTACATAGTTTATATCCCTAAATATTGATTAAAATAATATGCTATATGTATCACATATACATGAATCTGTGCTAAATTACATATATATTATAGCTTTCTCATAATATATATATGTATATATATATACATATAGGTATATATGTATATGTATGTTTTATATATATATATATAAATATATAATTTGCAGTACAAATGCTTCTGTCACCTGCTTGAAAACTACTGAATATTTACCTCATTATTTTTCTCTGTGTGTGTGTGTGTGTGTGCTGTGTATGATGTATGTGTGAGTATGTGTGTGCAGGTACCCATAGAGTCTAGAAGAGAGCATGAGATAGAAATGGAGTTACTTGGGGCTGTGAGCAGAACTCTTGCAGGTCTTCTGAAGGAGAAGTGGTTAAGAAGGTGCTCTTAACAGCTCAGCCACCTCTCCAGCTCTTACATGTCATTTTTATTTCTATATTAATATCAGTTTTCTCAGAAACATAGTTTTTCTCCAACACTAGTTTGTGTCAGAATTCTTGTTTCTCATTGTAAAGACTTTGGTTTCTAGTTTTTTTCCTCACATGTACTCGGGTTAAGGATAAAGAGGGTCCTAAGTGCCCCGCTTTTGTGTCTTCCTGCAGCGTCTATCCAACGGCTCCATAGACTCAACAGATGACACCAGCCAGATAGTCGAGCTCCAGGAATTGCTTGAAAAGCAAAACTATGAAATGGCCCAAATGAAAGAACGCTTAACAACTCTTTCTTCACGAGTGGGGGAGGTGGAGCAGGAAGCAGAGACAGCAAGAAAGGACCTCATAAAAACGGAAGAAATGAACACAAAATATCAAAGGGACATCCGGGAGGTAGGTGGCTCATAGCCTTCTCTGTCTTTGCTTCTTGAATGGTTTCCCCATGCACTTCCCTAGAGATTGGTAGTCTTTACTTCTTGAAGACCATAATTAGGAATGTTGTTCTAGCTATGTACCTATTCAGTAAGATAGAAATAGTTTACTTACTGGTCCTTTAAATATGTATGACTGGAAAGCTTTGATATCAAGTCTCAGCTATTCCAAAGTCCTTGTGAAGATTTAATGACATGTCAAGGCTTTAAAGTTTTAAATTTGAATAGCTGTGCATGTGGGAATGAATCATGATTTTCTATAATGTTATATAGGAGTGCTCGAAAATATTACTTTAACTTGTCTTTTGTGTCTGTAAATGCCTTGCATGAATATGCTATGCATATGTATAATATAACCTTTCTTTTTTATGTATATTCCTTTCTTGCTAGGCTTAGTATTGCTTTGTCTACAAAAAAGGAAAGGAGGGAGGGAGGAAGGGAGGGAGGGAGGGAGGGCAGAAGGAAGGAAGGAAGGAAGGAAGGAAGGGGGAGGGAAGAAGAAAGAAATTTAGATTTATTAAATGATTCAGCAACATTTTATTTATAATGTCTAATTATCTTACCTATTAGGATAAAACTTGAAAATTCTTTTTATTTTTCTTACTTTTAAAAATACATTTTTTTTTCATTTCAGGAATTTTGAATTTTGACATTTTGCCTTTTTCATTTTCACATTTTCTTTTCAAACATATCTTTGAATCTTCAAGTATGTTTCTATGTGGCTAACTAGTCAATACAGCTTTATTTGTTGTCTCCAAATTTGTTTTTCTCTTTTCTAAAAGCAACACTTGCCCCAATTGTCCCATTAACAGTATTTGTAATAAAGCATCTTATTCATTATGTTACTGAATGAAGGAATATATTCTTGGTCCTTTGAAGAGCTAGTTCACATTCACTCAACTGTCTTTGGAGTATTTGTTCTTCTGCCAAGCTCTCCTGGATGTCCTCCAGTTTACCTGTTCCCCTTTATCTCAGCAGTTTCACTGAGCTTTCCTTCCCCTGCTTTGGTTTATCTTCCCCTTTCAGTCTCCCATTGTTTGCTTAAACAAATAAATGGTAATGAGCCACACACAAATCAACCATAGGCACTTAGTTTCATTCTCTACCTTCCTTTTCTCTCTTTTCTTCTCTTTCCCAGTGGTAATACCAAAACCTCTAAAAGATGTCTCAGCAATATAAACTTGACATTCATTCCTTTCTCATTCCACCAATAAAACTCACTGCCCAGCAGTTTCACGCAATCACTATTATTACTTAGGCCTAAATCTTAGAGGTTCCATGAAATTTTCTTTTGGTGCCATGCTATATTTGATTTTGTGGTAAATTCTAAAATATGTAAATCCAATATTTGACTTTTCACAGTCTCCCACAGCTTTCCCTTGTTTTACAAAATCATTATCTTTGAAGATGAAATTATAATACTTTACTTAGTGGTCTGACCTGGTTATGCCTTCCAATGAATTAGCTCTCATTACTTTTCTTCTTAAATTCCTTATTTATTTGATATTCTACTAGTAATAAGAATAAAGCAATGTAAGTAGCCTGAAAAATATGTATAGTATAATACATGCTCTCTTGACCCCCCTGTCATCTGAGCCCACTCTACTCAATTAAAGTAGACTCCTGGTGCTTGGCTGTGGATCTCTGGATCTGCTTCCATCAGTTACTGGATGAAGGCTCCATGATGACAGTTAGGGTATTCACCAATCTGATTATAGGGATAAGCCAGCTCAGAAACCCTCTCCGCTATTGCTAGTAGTCTAATCTGGGGTCATCCTGTGGATTCTTGCTTGTATTTCCGGATATTTAGTTCCATTCTTTGCATTTCAAGCTCCCATATACTTTATGTTTGCTTATCTTTCACAGAGAGGTTGTGGTATCTCTGGTTCACCCTTCCTCATGCACATTTAAAATAACTTCTTCATATAAATAGTGCTTAGATAAGGATGACACAAAATCAGGTCAGACAGAAAACATCAGCTGTATTGCCAGAGATTGTTTCAGTAGGAATTTATTTTAATAGGTTAGGTCTTCCCCTATTATAAGTAATTGTTGTGTAAGATATAATTATACTTTTAAGGTCCCTTGTTCCCTAGGTAGCCATATTTTAGTTGAAACTTATGAAAAAGGAGCCTATCCCATCATCCACCTCAGAGGGAAGTTTGTAAACAAGTGTTTTCAGAGCCTGGCAGCAAATGGATGTATAAATACCAGGTTTAAGACACTGGAAAGTGATACTCTTGAAAAGACCTGTAAAAGGGCCTTCACTCATTGGACTTATCTTGCCTGTCTCGATAAAGTTCCTACTATGTTCTTACTATGGTATGGCTCTCCTATCTAATGTTCCAATAACATGTTTCAAAATATTTTGACTTACTTCTTTGTTTAATAAAAAATATCATCAAACTGTTAGCATATTTAAACATGGAGTTTTGAGCAATCTAAATCTATATTCCTGGATCGTGGTCACTTACATTTGGCTTTAGAATAAATTCTTTTATTCTTTTTCAGTTGAGAGTTATGTTTTTGCATCTATAGTACAGTATTTTACACTATAAAAACTATCATACAAAATTCCAGGCACAGTGTAACTATCACTTAAATAACCAATGTTTTTTTTTTTTTTAATCATTCTTTCCAAAAAGTTAAAATGACGTGAAACTCCTATCTCTTAAACTTGAAGTACAGATTCTATTCCCTAAGTAATATGTTTCTGGATTTTGATCTCACAAAGTCTAAAGTATTGTGAAATTATTAATAGTTAAAGAGAAAGATAATTCTTCTTTGTACCCTCTCATAATTGCAGCACAGTATTGTGTAAATATACCACAAGTAAAAAATCACTCAGTGAATTAATTAAGAAAAAAACTTGGGCAATAAGGGGTAAAAAACCAACCATTCAATTACAAATTGAAATGTATTTCTAATAAATCTAAACTGAGTTGTATAATTATGTTCAGTCAATGGTTTCTGAACATATTTCTGTAATTACTTTATTAAGAACTTTGAATTTTCATTTTAGCTGCTCTTTGCATTAATAATGATCTAAAAGTAGATGAAGCTAGTCACAGTGCAATCATTCAAAAATTATTTGTAAATTGTGTCTTGGCCCTCTACTTTTTAATCAAGAAGATATTAAGCATACATGGGTAATAACATTTAATGGCCTTCATAGGTATACAGATGGCTTAAATTTTCAGCAAAGTATTCTAATTACATTTATTTTGTGAATGAAGCCAACTTATCTTTCTGACATCACACTTAAAATCCCTTCTCACATTTGCAAAGTAATCAAATTAATTAAACTATAAATTTTAATTCATATTAGTTGAGACATGAATTACATTTTCATTATACTTCATAACATTACTATAGAACTTTATTTATTTAATGCAATAAAAAATCCAGTTATATATAAACTTCAGGTTAGGAGGTCATTGGATTTTTATGCTATTTTTGTTTTTATATAACAGCTTTTAGGAACTAGAAAAAAGCTTTCTTCCTTAGACTCTCTAAATAACACAGAGGAAAAGCTATTTCTATGACTTGTAAATTCAAATTTTATTTTTGGTAACACAGCCAGCAGTTAAAAATTGAATCACTCACATGAATCACTAAGTCAAAAATGCCATTTCAAATCTACATATGCTGACTCCTACATGGACTGTGTGTTATGTGCCTGAACAGTTAACTGTGAACAGGTTTGTAATCACTAATTACAAAGTAGCTATTTAATGAGTGTATATTCTACTCTGGGCACTATACAAAGTAGATGAACTATTATATCATCTAGTTATTAGTAACTTTATGATAATTATTAATAATCCAACAAAAAAGAATATGAAAGGAAACCATACAACTCTTACTCATGGGTATAATATACCAACTTTCATTCCCCCCACCAAAAAAAATCTGTCTTTTAGTTCTAAAGATATTGTGATTAGAATTTAGAGATAAATTTGTGGTGATACATTGTATACCCCATGAAGCTTACTTGGGGATCAGAGGACAGAGCCAGTTAATATCACTACAGAAATTTATATATATATATATATATATATATATATATATATATATATATATGTTAGATACATAGTTTTCTTTTATTCCATGAAACTGACAAATATTCCTAGGAGTCTATATGAAAATTAACATGAACTATAGACTCACTAAATTAGAAATACAAAATAACAGAAATAAAGATTGTGAATCAACATCATTTTAACACTAAGTACTATGATTATTGTCTGGACTTTCTAAAACCTAATGGAGTACTGGCAACATTTTACAAAATTGTCTGGATTAATTTTGCCAACATGATGGATTACTTTAACTTCATATGTTTAAATTTTAATATTAGCCTAAATGACTACTCTTTTACTAGCTATTGAAGGACACAGAAAGGAAGGAATAAAATCATATTCCAGGTGAAAATAAAGTCAGACAACATTGTAGTTTTGTGTGCTTGCCATAGAGCATTGGTTCAAAGTGACTGGCTCATAATGAATATCATTTAAAAAATTATGTGGACACTTGATGTGTGTGTGGGCACACACACCACAGCACACATATGGAGGTCAGTGGACCACTTTATAGAGCTGTTCTCTCTTTCTACCCTTGTGTGGATTCTAGACATGCACCTTGGGTTTTCCGACTTGCCTTTGCTTAGCAAGTATCCTTACCTGGTCAGCAATCTTTCCTTCCAGTTTAGCAACTCTAATTAATTTCCTCACATTGCTAAGGATTTTGTCTGAAGTCAATGTTTCAACAGGACCAGGTTCTCTCTGTGGGCAGTAACGAAGAATATGGTCATTGCTCCTTCAAGTTCCTGGTAAATGTTTGCAGGGCATAGCATTCTTGGTTGAGTGGCCAACTAATTTCAAATTCTGCTATGCTGTGTCTATGCTTCCTATTGTCTTTCTGAGGATGCACTCATGCAATTTAGTGTCTACTCGAATGCTACTTTGTTTCATCTTAATTTGACCATGGCCAAGACATCTTATTTACTTATTAACTAACTTTCAGAGATCCAGAGTGGGCACAAATTTGGAAAGAATGTTACATACTTCAATAAACAGAAGTAAGAATGCATTATGTCAAGAAACCAAGAGCATCATGGCTCATATTTTATTCTGAAGATAAAGAAAAAGAAATAGAGGATTTCAGCTCAAGAAGTACCATGATCAAACTAGATTAAAAGGCATTCAGAATAAACTTTCAGTGAGCAGCATGATAAAGAATACCAAAAGGAAGATAGAAATTGAGGCTCTTAGGCTTCCAAGGATGACAAGTACCTGTGCTCCCACAGAAGAGTTGGACTGAGTGTGGATATAGAAACCAAGGGCAGCATGACTCATCATCTTTTAATTAATTGTTGCATGAACATAAGTTTCCAATAGCAAGTAAGTTCAAGAGGCTCACAAGAGAGGGAAAGAGAGATACAGAAACACAAACACACACAACCTCTAATCTCATTTTTCTCCATCTCATTTCTCCTAAATACTTACTTTCAATCCTTGAGCTTTTCCTTTGGCATTTTCTCTTTTACTTAAACCAAAAAACCAAATGTAAGCCTATCTAATTAATATATTAGGTGTGAATTTTTAGCTTCCACTTTTTCCTTCCTTGCTCTTTGTTTGTTTGTTTGTTTGGTTGGTTGGTTGGTTAGTTGGTTTTTCAAGATAGGGTTTCTCTGTGTAGTTTTAGTGCCTGTCCTGGATCTTGATCTGTAGACCAGGTTGGCCTTGAACTCATAGAGATCTGCCTGACTCTGCCTCCTGAGTGCTGGGATTAAGGTGTGTGCCACTACTACCCGGCTCCTTACTTGCTATTATATTTATTTTCCCAATGTAATTATTATCAAAACCACATTCAGTGCTACCATTATTATTACTGTGTGACTACTTTTCACAATTGATCCAAGCAGTAATTTCACATATTTTCCATTATGTACAGTTTTCTGTTTTTCTAGGATCTTATTAGCTAATTCTTGTCTTATTCTGTTAAACTTGACTTTTTTAAATGTATGACAAAATCATCCCACATTCTCTAATAGTTTGATAAAAATTCCTTTCAATTGTAATCAATAACCAGAAAGTGAATGCATCATCTTGACTTTGATCTCCTTGGAATCATCTTTCTCCTTTGCCTTCCTTTTCTGGTCTGTAGCTGTTTCTGTGGTGGAGTTCAGCTCCGTCAATTTGGCACAACATAAGCTCACCTCAGAAGAGAGTCTTAATGAGGAATTTTCTAAATCAAGTTTGCCTAGAAGAATGTCGGTAGTGAAATTGCAGTCTATCTGAGACTGCCCCATGTCCGACACAGGGGTCCCTAGAACGTAATAGAGGAAAAATCTTACTGGGAGTACACAAGCAATCAAGGATGCTAACATATGCGGATGTGATAAGGCAGCTGCCTTACTTCCTGCCTTAACTTCCCTGAAATGATTGAATACAACTTGGATTGTAAACCAATAAACCCTTCACGGATCAGCATTGCTTTTTGTCAGGGTGTTGGTGAAAGAAACAGAAATTAAGTAGCACAACTGTTATCTTAATAATTTAGGGGGGCGGATAAAAGATCAAGGTCCCTAAAGGAAACATGGAGCACTGAGAGTGATTTTCTTTGGGTGAAGGTGGGATATTCATTCTAAGTGGGGAAAAAAAGAAATTGAGAATTTATGTGTAAATAACCATATTTGTAGATGATGGTGAAGGAAGGGCTTCTGTTTCTTTTGAAAATTGGGAAGAAATTATACATATGTAGAGTTGCTGATGAGCTGTGGACTCTGGAGAAAAACAAGAAAAAAATGACAAGATGAATACCAATAATAATGTAAGATTAGAAATAATAATTAAGAATGGAAAGACAAGATGAATCCTGATAATCACATGCCAATCCTACAATCACCTGCCTCAATTCTTAAGACATAGAACATCCAAGAGTGTCTAGAAACCATTCCAGGTCCACGGGGTTTATTTCTATAGCTAACTTTTACTAGTGTCTTCTCAACAAAGATTTTTTTCTACCTACCAACAAATGTACATGTAAGCTCTTAGGAAGGTTGAAACTTATTGTATTAAAAATTGGATTTGAACTGGGCGGTGGTGGCGAATGTCTTTAATCCCAGCATGGGGGAGGGAGGCAGAGGCAGGCAGATCTCTGTGAGTTCAAGGCCAGCCTGGTCTACAAAGTGAGTTCCAAGACAGTCAGGACTGTTACACAGAGAACCCTTGTCTTGAAAGACCAAAAAGGGTTTTTGAAATTATTCAAAAATTACATTAGTGTTATGGATCTCTATGTGCTCTGATAGTTTATCTTCTCATCCATAGTTATGTTTTATGGAGCTTTTAAAGCTCTACTTTAACTGAAATGTGCATAACTTAATGTATTCACTTCTCTTTTACAAATAATTAATAATAATAATAATAATAATAATAATAATAATTTTTTTCATTCTGAATAATCAACGTAGGGTCTCCTGTATCCTAGGCAACTTTTGCATCACAGTTATGTTCCCAACTCCTGTCTTCATTTAAAAACACTCGGTTTTTGTTTTGTGTGAAAGGCAGAATTCTGCTGATTTTCTCTTCTTTAAAATTTTGATATGGTAGCATAATTACAACATTTCTCCTTTTCCCTTTCTTCCCTTCAAACTCTCCCATATACCTCTATCCACTTTTTTTTCAAATTTCTGACATTGTTTTATTATTTCCTACATATATTATATAATACACACACATCTATCATCTACATACATACTCTCTATGTATATCATATATACATACTATATTCCTAATATTATATATGTGTATACACACACACATATATATTCCTAAATATATCCTGCTCAATCAATATAATGTCAGTTTTGTGCATGTTTTCAGAGCAGATCTTTTGGCTTGGAAAAACAGTTGATGTTCTTTTCCCTGGGAAAGACCATCTCTCCTACTCCTAGATATTCTCCTTGTCCTACAGTTCTTTCTTTAAGGTTGAGGCCTCATGAGTTTTTCTCCATCTACTTTGGCATGTCCATTTGTGTCGTCCTTGTTCAGATCACTTCTGGGCAGTCATGTTTGTGAGACTTTACTGGTATAGCTTCTGACATTCCTAGGAGAAAAAATTTCAGAAACGAACTCCCTGATGCTCTGGTTATTTAATCTTTCTGCCTCTTCTGCGGCAATGTTCCCTGAGCCTCAGGTGCGAGATCATTCTGTAGATGTTTCTATTGGGACTGGGTTCTACACATCTGCATTTTTTAAATTTTAATTTCTTTATTTTGAAAAAAAAAAGGTTTTTCTTTTTCCATTTTACATACCAATCCTAGTTCCTCCTCCCTCCCCTTCTACTGCCCCCTACATCCCATAATCTCATCCCCAATCCACTTTTCTGAGAGTGTAAGGGCTCCCTTGGGGAGTCAACAAAATCTGGCATACTAAGTTGAGGCAGGACCAACCCCCCCCCACCCTGTGTCAAGGCTGAGCAAGGTGTCCCATCCTATGGAATGTGTTCCAAAAAGCCATTTCATGTACCCAGAATAAGTCCTGGTCCCACTGCCAGGGGCTCCCCAAACAGATCTAGCCACCTAACTGTCATCCACATTCATAGGGCCTAGTTCAGTCCCATGCCTGTTCCCCCAGCTGACAGGCCAGAGTCCATGAGCTCCCACCAGCTTGGGTCAGCTGTCTCTGTGGTTTTCCCTATCATGATCTTGATGTCACTCACTCCTATGGTCCCTCCTCCTTGTCTTCAGCTGAAGTCAAAGAGCTCAGCCCAGTGCTGCTTCCATCAGTTACTGGATGTAGGCCCTATGATGACAATTAGGATGGTCACTAATCTGATTATAGGGGAAGGGAAGTTCAGATACCCACTTCATTATAATAGAGAGTGCCTGAACAGATCTGCATTTTTGATCAGTTGATGTTTTCTGTAGTAGTCTGTGTCTGTTGTCAAGAGAAGTTTCCTTGATGAGGGGTGAAGACTACATTTATATGTGGGTATATGTACAGATGTTTATAGATTGTTGTTGGGAGCTCCTTTGGATTAACCCATTAGTGGCTATAGATTCTCTTCTAATAACCATGACTTCACTAGCACTGAGCAGATTTTGTAAAAACTTATTATTTTTATTTTATGTGTATTTGTGGTGCACAAATACTGTGTCAGTTTCTCCAGAATTGGAGTTCTAGAGGGCACTTGGCTGCCACTTGAGTTCTGGCAAACCTGGTCCCTCTGCAAAAGCAACAAGTGTTCTTAGCGACTAAGCCATCTCTCCAGCCCTCTGGTGGCACCTATGCCTTATTTGATCATAGCTTCAGAAGTGTGTTCAACAAGTTAACAATCTCCTAGCTTTCATCTTCACTCATGGTTGTACTTCTGTCTAATTTATAACAAGCAAATTTATCTGTCATTTAATTCTAGAGCGGGAAGTTTCAAAATATGCTTGTTTGTATTCTTAGACATTCAAAAGTCCCTGCTTAATCTATTAAAATATTTTTTTAAAAAAACATGATAAAGAGACTAGGAGAGTAAGAAAATATACATGGAATATTTTTTGTTTATTTATTTTGTTATGTAAGACATGGGAAAGGGTTTCTTTCTTTGTGTAGCTCTGGCTGTCCTAGCACTCAGTCTGTAGACAAGGTTAGCCTCAAATTCATAGACCCACGTGCCTCTGCCTTCCAAGTGCTGGGTTTAAAGGTGTGTGTCACCAGCCCTGGCATACATGGAATCTTTCAAATGCTCTTGAAGAATGTGTCTTTCCCGGGCCAAAGCCATTTTTGATATCTTATTATTTCATTTAAATAAGAAAACTACCTCTGTCTGAGACTCTCTAAGTTTCTTTTGTGTTTTGCTCTGCTGGGGTTGAAAGCAAAGACTTGCACATGACGTTTACCGTGTTACTTACAGGCAATGGCTCAGAAGGAAGATATGGAAGAAAGAATCACAACCCTGGAGAAACGTTACCTCAGTGCTCAGAGAGAATCTACCTCCATTCATGACATGAATGATAAGCTAGAAAATGAGTTGGCAAACAAGGAAGCCATCTTGCGGCAGGTTCAGTATTACTATTTTGGATTTGGGTTGCTCTCTGTATGTGTTCCCACCATTTTTTACAAAGCAAGGAATAAAATAGGATGTTTTTAAGCAGATCAGTACTTATGCTTTAAAACTTTGAATAGTACTAAGGAAGCAATTTTTATTTTATAGTTTATTTTTAACAAAATTACAAATCATTCAGATGAAAATAATAATGCAGAAACTACTGACTTTGGATCTAGACATGAAACAGACCCTAAGGAGTTCGTTTGAAATTACCTCACTTAATTCTAGCCTCCTCCTGCCGATTAGCTGTAGTTATTCTTTGAGTACTCTGGGGATCAAAGGCAGCACTACTACCCAAGGTCACACTCATAATAAATGTCAGGACTGGAAGGTTACCCAGCTCTACATCCAAAAAAAGAGAGCGGCAGCCTATAAGGCAACCATGGCTCTCTCTCTGTTCCCAAAAATATAAAGTTTTAATGGAATATACACACCGAATGACTTAGTCGTTGTTTGGGGTTGTTCTCGGGTTACACCAGCCTATTGGAGGAATTGAGCCAGAGATCATATACTATACAGTCCTAAAATACAATTTGTCCTATACAGAAAAGTTGTTTGTCTAGTCTCTGGAGTATGGACTCCTGTGCGGCTATAGTTCTTATGTTTCTCCAGTCTGAAGCTATGGTTTTTCAACAGGTTTTCTGTTGTCATTGTATTAATACTGAGCTGTATTCCATTTGTTCAAGTTCATTCTCATTAGAAGTTTCTTTACTGTTTGCTGCCAAAGGCAAAACAGTTGCTATTATATTGTGTTGAATTTCTGTAATTAAAACTGGCAATTAATACATGAAATCATGATAACAGTTATCACCTAGCATTGTTAAGTATGGTAATAGCTGATTTTAAATCTAGAAAAAAATAGCTGATGTATGAAGTCCATATGACTCATTCTAGCTAACCTAACTCTTGACTGTTTAAAAGGCGCCCTCCTCTTCCCTATTTCAGATGGAAGAAAAGAACAGACAGTTACAAGAGCGTCTTGAACTGGCTGAGCAAAAGTTACAGCAGACCATGAGAAAGGCGGAAACTCTGCCTGAAGTAGAGGCTGAACTGGCCCAGAGAATTGCAGCCCTAACAAAGGTACTGCTCCAAACCCCTTTGGTCAGCCTAGATGTAACAGCAGAAATAACTGTCTATCAAAGTGGAGTCTATAATTACTCTTTTCAGGTTATGTGAAACTTGTATTAGTCAGATCTTTCTTACCTTTCTTTCATTAAAGTTTAGTTTCCACAATGCATATATCTTGCTTACAGTGACTTGAATGATTACTATATGAGTATGATGATTTCCTTGTCTATTTAAACACTAACAAGAAAAGCAAACTTTGATCTCACTGCTATAGTAAATTTTCTGTGGTAGTTTTTGCACATAGCAAATAACCATGTTAGTTAAAAATCTCAAAATATGTGTATGAAACAGAACCATTTAATCAGCTTTGTATAAATGGTTTGCTATCGGAACAATATGAAATGTAATAGTTGTTGGTTCCAATTATATTTCAATGTGGTGAAAATTGTTCAAAGAAAGAGGTCTAAAAGATACAGTTGAAAGCCATTAAGTTTTATGAAAGTACTTTTATAATTGTGTTTTCTTCTGAAGAAGTAGAAATTGAGTATATTGTATTGTACTGTTTTTCCATACTGTGGACTGTACATTCTAAAACCATTCTATATTATATAACATAAAGCCATTTTAATAGAGCCATTTTAATTCTTAAGGACCCATAGAAATCACATCCATTTCACCTGAAAAGTTCTGGTTTTATCACAAAAGCATGTTGATTTTTATGTCCACTGAAAGCTATGTACACATTCTGAATGTTCACGTAACCCTAGCAGTTCTCCAAGTGTTTCAGGCTGCACGATGACTAGGTACTCTAAATCTAAATGAACTTGTACCTTCTAGTAGTAGAGATCATTCAAAACAATTGGTACAGCCGTGGAGAAAGGGACCCAAACTCACTGTCTTTAAGAGCAAAGAAAAGAATAAGACAAACAGTTTGACAGTGTTATTAAATGGTAAAATAAAATATTTATATGGGAAAGCAAATTTGGACAGAGATGAGCAGGCCTAGAGAGAGCATCAAGCTACGTAGTGAATTTTAGAGTATTAAGATACGACCTGATGAAACGTTAGTCTGTTAGGGGAAAACTATTAAATTTATGTCTTTCTATATATAACCAGAGACCACACCACTAAATAGGGACGCAAAACTTAACATATATGTGTGTGTGTGTGTGTATGTGTGTGTGTGTGTGTGTGTGTGTGTGTATGATCATCTTAAAAATATTTACTAAGTTACATAAGCCTATCCAAGCATATCAATAGTATTATACTTTTTCTTGCAAAGACTTCTTTTTAAATTTCTATAATATAGACGAAGACATGCACACAGTGGTTCTGTTTTAATGTAAAGGATATAAGTAGTTTTCCTAAAGAGTTTCCATGTCAAATTTTGCTATTGTGGGATTGAATACAAAAACAGCTGGCAATAATTCATGTAGAATACTCAACAGTATTTATTTTCTAGAACAAAACACCAAAGTTTAAAACTTTCCTAAGAAAATACAGCTTACAATGCATTTAAATTATTGCCACGAAATTAGCCATTGATGTATTTATTATCAAATATAATTTAAAATATAGCAATGGACTTACATAGCTTTAAATTAAATAGTGCTAAATTACTCTTTTATGATATAAAATCCCTAAAAATTGACTCCTAGCATCTGTTAACTCTCCAGCACTTTTATTAGGATATAGTACATGACAGAGACAGGAACTAATTACCATGGTGGATAAACTTTCTCTGTACCCGAACTCTTGGATTTTTCAGTATTTCAGAAAACACTTAACATTCTTTAAAATTCTTCTAGTAGTGTATCATTTATTCTTTGATTCCTATCCCTTTGACTTCTGTCATCTTCTGGATTGACAACATATCTCAGGTGTATATGACAGTTTCTAATATTAGTGACATAGTTGTTTTACTCTGTGAATTACTAACTGCTAAGGTTATATCCTTAGCTTATACCATGTCTATAACATGAAAGTATGACTCAGTTCCTCTGAGCACTAAAAGGTGCTCAACCGTCTTGCACTCATCCATGGATTTACTCAAAACTCCCCGAGATGATTTAAATAATTTGTTTTATTTTATTCAATTTAAACTCTCTGTCCATATATGGTTATTATTATCAACAGTCTTTTGTCTACGCTTTGTGCCTTCTACCGTTCTAAATTTCAAACAGTCTGCTTAGCTTAAGTCTTGGATTTTTGTCTCTTGTGTTTTAAAAGGATATTTAAACAACTAATTAAGTATTTAATTTGACATATATGTAAATATGCATATACGTGTGTATGTATGTGTCTTAATTTTTACCTATCTATATCATATCTTTATTTTTAGGCTTGTCTGGTACTACCTTTATTCACCATTCTGATTGTATTCTCATTCTTCTCATGCTAATTTCTGTCATTATTTGGCAAAAACCTTAATGCATTTGAAATTTTCCTCTATCATATTAAAGAGTAAAATCAAGATGAACTCTTCAAGTACAAATAAAAGCAGACTGATCTTGAGTAGTACTTGGCTTGTGTCTGCTGGTACAACTGTGCTGTCCCCAGGTCTAAGGGCAACAATGTATAGTACTGTTCGCTAAAAACTGCCCCCTGTGTTGCTTAGAGACGATGACTGAATTTATTCTTTGGATTCTAAAACTGTTTTTTTTTAATCATCTAGATAAGGGAGATATGCAAAGTAGGTAAAGCTCGTTTAAAGCTTTTAGAAAGAATTCTTGATTAATGACCATAAATAAAAACTAAATTTGATGTTTATATATAATTAACCATCAAAGATCATTCTGGACTCCCAATGTAATGATTTGTTATATCTACTTCTTTAATTAGAATCCATATTTCCTCAAGTAGGACATAACTCATCTTGAATTTTATGAGGTATTCCGTTCATTTCAGCACTCATAAAAATTTCAGTAATAACATAATTTAGAGATGACAGTTCTTGTGTTTTGTATCTGACGTGAATTTTCTCAATGTTTTTGCATATTCTTTAGTGAAGAAAAATACATGATGATGTTTATAGAGTTTTAAAAACCCATATTTTTAAAGAAAGACTTCTAGAATTTCAAATATCCATATCCCACTCTTTTGAATCAATCACTAATTTGATTTTAATGACTTAAAGGATTATAAAATACACAGGCTCATTGTCAAATTTAGGGTACACAATTTCAACAACCTCTTTTTTTTTCTTAATAGGACTTGCAAGTTTTAAATGGTATAAAAACAGAGGGACGGAGAGATTGCTTATGGAAGACCTGAGTTCAGTTCTTAGCAGCCCTACTGGGTAGCTCTCACAATCACCCGTAATTCTGGTTCTGTTGATCTGTCACCCTCTTCCTGCCTTCCATGGCACTGCAATTGCATACACTAACCCACACACAGAAGCATACATACAAATATAATTAATTAAACTTAAAAATATTAAATTCAAATTTAAATAATACAAAACTCATTTGCTTGCGTTTGAGGATCGTGATAGCTTTTATTGCTGCTTCTATTTGGAAACCTGTGTAAGATACTGGGGAGGAAATTGTGATGATCTATGTTTATAAAATAAATTCAGAGACAGGAAATACTAGGATATATAAATGACAAATTATAATTTACATGAATACAACATGTTTGAAATGTTAAATGCTACTCCTTAAGTAAGTTTGAATTTGTTGTGTAAAGTTGCACAAATGCATATTAACTGGTTACTATTGCTTTTCAGTTACTGCGTGATATATTTACATGTAGTCCTATATTATTTAAAAGTAAGGTTCACTACTTCCAAATGAGCTACTACTTTGTCAGAGTATGTTCTAGAGTTGAAATTGCATTACTGACATAAGATATTTTTGGTGTCGTAATTATTTAAATTGTAATTATAATTAAACTGTTGATGTAATGTTATAAGTACTTTGTGCATAGCATACTAATACAATTCAGCTATCAGCAATGTCCCATGTATTAACACTCTACACCTGTGGTGTCCTGACAGCAAGACATGTAACTAACCTCAGTACAAGGCAATCATTAGCTCACAGAGGCTCTGTGCTTCCTATTCACTCTAAGGCAAGGTTCTGTTTCCATAGTAACAAATTAATTCAGACACTCTTTTGATGTGGTCTTCATATCATTTTTGAGCATTCACAAAGTTTTTTGTCCTTATGACATTATTATCACCACATAAGTTGAGAAATTTTAGTATTAGTCCATTGTGTCCAGGGGTCATTTTTTTTTAATGTGGACCACTGTTGCTGAGGAAACTCAATCCTGTTTGAGTTTATTCATAATAACATATCCTGGGGCTTAGTCTTATTTCAGACTTCTACATGTGAGGCCTTATATATTGTTGATCCAAATATGACACCCTTGAGACATAGCCCAGAGAGTTCTCCTTGAGATGCAAGGTTTACATCATTTTTTTCTAGTAATGTGAAAAACCAAAAGACAAAATGTTTGAGCATCTATCCGAGACATTCTAGTGTTTGGTTTCTCATAATCCCAGTTATTACATGCCATTGTCATTTCCAAACTTGCTTTAACGCACCTTGTAAAAGTCGCTCATTGCCAGCTGTCACTAACACTCCATACCTCAGGTTCTCAGCTTTTTATTTGAGCATATCATTGTCTTTCATTTATAACCATCAACTGCATTATATTCACTAGATATCAGAATAGTTCCTTCTACATAAAATTTTGTCTATTAAAGTATTGGGTTTGCTGTCACTTTTATTTTAAGCATTCTGTACTATGTTCTGTTTGGTGTCAGTGTCTTTAGTTCTGATTTTTTCAATTTTGTCCCCTCTCCTTTTCCTTGACTTGTTAGTCTGATCCAACCTCTTCTACCTCATCTGATGATTATCAATATGTTATGGAAGCTAAACTCCAAGAAATGATCTCCATACGTAGGAAGGTAGTCCTACTGGACTTTACTTTCTATCGCTAAATAGAATCCATCTAAGTTTTTTTTTCCTTTTCATTTATAAAAATTATGTTACTTTTATTTATTGATAATCGACCATCTGTGCAGTTCAGTGCTTCAGGAGCTTAAGATTGGACAATGGCAGGTTTGTGTTCAAACCATGCACAGTCTGCATGTTACATTTGGCTGAAATCATTGCTCATAAATAACTCCAGTGTTTTGCTGATGCTTGAATGTAACAGGCCTTTGTAGCTGACACATTTCAAGCAATGCTGTTCAGCTGCCTGTTTAAAGAAAGTTTATTTTTGGAAACTATGTTTGCAGTTGGTAGTAGCTTGCTTTACATTTTATTTCAGTTTATTTAGATGGGAGGAATTAACTCCTGTTACATTTTAGGTCCACTCTTCCTATTTCTTAACAGGCTGAAGAGAGGCATGGAAATATTGAAGAACGTATGAGACACCTAGAGGGTCAACTGGAAGAGAAGAATCAGGAACTTCAAAGAGTATGTATGAAGCATTTCCCTCAGTCATGACTTTTTGAATGCACAGACTTCATATTTGAGGAAAACACTCTTAATTAAAAGCCATGTTTAAAATGTTGGTTATGTTCTGGGCTTTTGAAAGAAAATAGTTTCTGCAAATCTAATCAAAAACATACATAAAATTATACTCAATTCAAAACCAGTGAAACTATAAAATTAACCTTGAACAGCACTGAATAATTTCTTTTCTCATGCCAAATATATTTTTGCTCTTTTTCTTAAATATAAGGCCAGGCAAAGAGAGAAAATGAATGAGGAACATAATAAAAGATTATCTGATACCGTGGACAGGCTTCTGACGGAATCCAACGAGCGTCTACAGCTGCACTTGAAAGAAAGAATGGCTGCTCTGGAGGAGAAGGTAGAGTTGCAGACATGGGGAGAAGCACATGGATGTTTGGCCATATTGTCTAGGTTGTGGTGTTTTCCTACCCTGCTGTAATCATTGTTTGTGACAGGCATTCAACCGACTTTCCATAGTCTAAAACTACTTGATATAATCTTCGGGAGTGAGTCAATTATTTCAATGAAATACTATAACATCGTGTTTTGAATGAGTAACTATATGACACATGATAAATATTATATATGAAAATGTTTGTAAGAAGAAAATATATTAAAATACGCTGTGATTTGTGATAAAAAATTTCATTCATCTTTTCATTATTTGTAAAAGTATACTAGAAAGACAAAGAAAAATATTGAGTGTGGGTCTGCTTGAAACTAGTGAATGTTGAATCTAATAACTACCAGCACTAAAAGCCAATGTATGAGAGATTATGACAGCGAGAGGATTATTGCTATTACCAGTAGAGGGTTTAGGAGCCTCTATTTCCAACTACATTGTTTCAAGAAGTGTGCTTATGTTCAGCCTGAAATTTGATTCACCATCATGTTTGTCACATTAATACCTGGAAACTTTCACACCAATCAGAATTTTTAGAGCTAGTGGCCAAACCCAGACTTAAATCAGAGAAGTAATCATTTAAACCTCAGGAGGACAAATTATTTCAGAAATCTAAACAGAATTTCACTCACTGTCTTATTTAGGCATTTTCCACTGACATAAAAATCAGGAAAGGCAGGGAAATGTTTTAATGAAATGTTAATGAATTTTGATTTATTGACACATTAAGAAATTAAACATATTGCTAGTGGCTGGCCCGGTACTCACCACTTATTTGAAGAATAGCTTAATTATTTCCCACTTAAAACATAGTCTGAGAAGAATTGGAGTATTAGCTCTGAGGGTAATATTTAGTCTGTTTATCTATCCAAGTATATCAAGATAGCACTTCTCATTTAAATAATTTATTTTGCAAAACGTTGAGTGTCACTTTTAAAGATTTCAATGGAACTTAGTTTCCATAGAAACCAGGAAATAAATTTACCAAGGAAGGAATCCTAAAAGATTCTTGAGTGCTAAAGTATGCATATACAGATTTAAATATTTTCAGCATATTGCATCTTTCTTTTTTCTTTTCCATAGAATGTTTTGATTCAAGAATCAGAAACCTTCAGAAAAAATCTTGAAGAATCTTTACATGATAAGGTATTATGGAAAAAAAGTTTGCCATTTATCTTATTCACATTGATGAATATATTGTGAAACAAATGTGATAAAATAATTTTGTGTTCTACTCTAAAACTATTTTAAATTTGTTTGCTTATAGCAAGGCATAAATTTATGTAGAAATTGAACAGTTTTTAGTATTGAACACACTGAAAGCCAGTTCTGAAAACAAAACTCTAATGTTAGCTTATAATCACTAATTAATCACCTTATTGGCTTGGACCTTATATAAATAAAACAAAAGTATATTTACTAAATTTTATGTAGTTTGAGAAATTATTTCTGCAAAAACAATTTAAATACCTACTATACAGAAGAACTGTGTCATTAAATATTTTATAGCATTATCCTACTTCTAAGGTAATTGAAAATCTAGTAGAAGAAGCATGTCTTACAAAAAGTGATTTATAATTGCAGCAACCAAGGGCCAATTTGGTGAGATTCACCTGAGCCGCAGGTTGTAAAGATCACAGTACACTGATGATATAAAGAAGGCTTCGGGGACTCAGGATGGGACTCAAGATTCAGGCAATGACAGACGGTGTTGAAAGCCTTGTAAACACCAAACACAAAGCCTGGCTATAGGTGTCTGTTAGTTTTGACGATTATTCATAAGTGTGATACTTTAGAACTGGATAGGGATTTGATGAGGACCAGCCATTCATATTGTAGGATATGTGACTTAACTGCCCAACAAAGCATGGATTATAAAAAACAAAAAAAACAAACAAAAAAAAAAACCTTAAAGTTGTGATAGTAATACATAGTTTCCTACTTCCTTTGCCTTGTTTCCTTAAAACTTCATTTAAAATATCAGTTTAATATGCGTCCTCTAGTTGGTAGCTGAAACACACAAAAAGGAATAGTGGAAGAGAAGGTTGAAAGGGCACGAAGAAAGGAGAGAATAAAAGAGAAACAGAAAGGAGATAAAAGGGAGGTAGGCAGAAAAGAATTAAAAGTTTATCAGCGGCACAATAATACACAAGGTACTGAAAACATTACAGGAAAAGGAAATTTAACAGTTTTCTATGATTCTATATTTTTGTGATAATTGAAAAAATAATAATCATTTGGTTCTATAGTTGGAAAGTCTGTACTCCTCTAATATATAGTTTGACACAACACTATAGCAGTGGTAACTAAAGGATGGCATTGAATTATTACTGAATGTCTAATAAAGACTTCACAGAGGATATCGTATTTTAGTAGGCTCTTATACACATGTAGTGGACAGCTAGTGGTCCAGGGGGAGGTTGGACCCTATGGAATAGCACAGAGGAACCAAGGATGAGTGAATGAATCATCAGAATCTTGCTGGAAGTACCATGTGTGTAGTGAAACAGTTCTGACCAGATTGTGAATTTTGGACTTGATCTTGTTATGCAATGTTAAGTTATTTAAAGTTATGTGGGCCCCTGGCAAGATCCTCAAAACCTACTCCCCCAACACCTACTCAAGCCTGTAGCTGCAACAATCTGCCCAAGCAGCCAACATTCCAAGTCATCTTATGCATTGTGTCCTTGCTAATGTCAATCTCCAGTAAAGGTATTCTTAGACCAAACATCACTGTGGGACTGCCATTCCATACAGCCAAGCATACTCTCTGATCTTAGTGCATCTATAATTGTTCAACTGTCCACTCAAGTGACTAGGATCATAACCCGCCATCAACAATAACTCCTACATATCAAGTCTTCCCTGTTTTTATTTTTTCCTTGTGACATTTATCCTTGAAATCTAAAGTGTGTACACTCTTCCAGTTCAGTCCCTGGCAGATTTATTTGATCTCATAGATTTCAACAACTCTATGAATTTCTAAGTACTTTCATATTTAGATCACCTACTGTGTACTTTTCCAGGAAGAAGTTTTATGTTTCAGTGTCAACTCATGTTATCATTTAGATACACACACACACACACACACACACACACACAGAGTAAATCACATATAGCGTCCTTTCCCCCCTTATTCATGTTACAAAAACTAAACTTGAAGCTATTGATAACTTTTGTGTTTATATAATTTTCCTCTGTCCAACCTAGTAGGTAAATTCCGATACTTCTATCATCAAAACATAATAAAAATCTATCCATTTTGTCCCAATAAACGTTTGTATCCACTCTCATGATTCTGTTTATAATTTTTAGAGAGCTCCAGATAATTGTGTTTCTTCCCTGCCTCCAGATTTCATGCAACCCTTTATTCACAGCTGTTACAATGATCATGCAATAATGCTCTTCTGCTCAGATTCCACCCCCTCGTTTGTTCCTTTTCCTATTCATAATAAAAAGCCAGATAGTTTTAAAATGCATTGAGGGCCTTTCAGAACGGCCAGCTGCCTTTTCCCTTCACTCAGTGGTAATCTTACTTTAATCCACACCCCACCTATGTTTTGCCTTGACGTCTCTAACCCACCAACCCTGGGGTTCTGTCCTGTCTCACCAAATATACTTCTATATGCTATGTTCTTTCTAATATGTTCTCATGTTTTATTCAGGACTTCACTCAAATGCCATGATATGTGGGGCACACGTGAGCTACAAAGGTTTTGCCGAGGGGAAATATTATATATCATCTTTTCATAATTCTTCTGTTTTCTTCTTAACAATATAATTTAGCTGTGCATTTTATTTATCAGTTGTCTGTTTCTACTAATGTACATTCAGTAAAAGACAGCTCATTCCTTGTACACCAGATGTGCAAAAGAGAAACTCAATGAGTATTTTTCTGAAAATAAGAAAAGTACGTAATTTAAAAAAAATTATTTAAAGCCAAATTTTTATTTGAATATCTGTATGTTTTGAAGTGATGCTAACAGAAGAAGGTGCATCAAAGATATTGAACCTAATAAACAATTTACAAAACTGTCAAAGGAGCTTAGGGTAAATAGGATTAAGGTCCTGAAAATTTAAAGATCATGTAATAGAAATGTCACAAATCCCACAATATCATTCTGTTAGCTGCTTTTCAATTGCTGGGAAGATACATCCTGTCCAAGATAACTAATAAAAGATAGAGTTTGTTAGGGTTTACAGTTCCAGAGGGTGAGCCTGTGACCGTCATGGCAGAGCATTGGGGCAGCAGTTAAGAGTTTAAATCCGATCCACAAATAAGAAAAGGACAGACAATTAACTGGAGTATTGTGGGCATTTGATACCACAGAGCCCATCCCCCAATGACATACATCTTCCAAAAAGCCACCTCTCCCAAGCTGTCTGCAACAGTTCCACAAACTGGAAACAAAGTATTCAAACTGATGAGCCTCTAGGTATCATTGTCATTAAAACCAGTCATAGTATGATAAGAAAAAAAATATGAATCAATAAAATGTAAGAGTTGGCTACTAAGAGAGAAGCTATAAAAACTAAGGGCTCATTAACAAGCATAACAGAACCAGTTATTAAACTGTTATGAAGTAAGTTCATGAGCACTTAGCTAAGAGCTGTGAGACAACTCCAATCTTCATAAACTTACCCACTGTGGTATTTAATACCAATCAGAAAAAGTTATAGGTAGACAAACAAAAGCAAGTCTGTAGTTAGGTTATTGACAGCCAGCCAATCTTTCATGCTAGCTTTATAATCATAAGTATATTTTATTTATCCATTTATTCACATCTCAAGAAATCTTAAAATTTGGGACTCGGCTTCCTTTTATTATGGAATTCTCCTTAAATCATTGTTCTTTACTGGTGTGCCCTTCAACCTTGATGGAAAAAATGGAAATTCTCACTTTATAAGTCAGGATTCCTTAGAGGAAAAGAACTGATGAAGTGAACACACACACACACACACACACACACACGGAAAGTGGGCCTATTATAGTGATTTACAGACTGTGGTCAAACTGATCCAACAGTGGCTACCTATCAATGTAAGGTCCAAGAATCCAGTCAGTCCTCATGGCTCAAAGTCTCAGTTTGTCTTCAGTACACACCGAAATCCTGAAGCCAGTGAAGGAACAGACTTGCCTTGGAGAGTGAGAGAAAGCCCTTAAAGAACAAGCTTCCAGCTGGGCGGTGGTGGTGCATGCCTTTAATCCCAGCACTTGGGAGGCAGAGCCCCACAGGCGGATCTTTGTGAGTTCAAGGCCAGCCTGGTCTACAGAGCAAGATCCAGGAAAGGCACAAAGCTACACAGAGAAACCCTGTCTAAAAAAAAAAAAAAAAAACGAGCTTTCGTCTTAAATGTCCTTTACATAGGCTTCTATGAGAAGAGGTGGCCCAGATTAAAGACAGATCTTCCCACCTCAAAAAGATCTGGTTTAAAAGTAGGTCTTTTCACTTCAAATGAATTAATTAAAAAACAACAACAACCAAAGATTACTTCTTCACAGGTGAACCCAGCCACTTGGGTTTTCATTAATTCCAGATATCCTCAAGTTGACAACCCAAAGGGTAATCATCACATTCACTTCCTGCATAAAGATGTCTTATTTAACTTAAAACTAGATGTGATTTGTCTTTTGTATCTGAGTGACATATCTATATTTGTGATTTTAATAATCTCACAAATTGGCAAATATTTAGGATTAATAAATACCAGGGAATAGAGGTGGTTTTGTTGACTTCTGTTATTGCCATATTCATTATGAAAGGTGAGCACAAGTATATTTTCTATTTATATCCAGTCTTCTTTAATAAAATGTAATCATTTTCCCTTTTAAATATTTATTTTTCACAACTGAATGCTGATACACTGAATGTGACCATCATCTGAGTAACTGCTTTTTGATTTTTAGGAAAGATTAGCAGAAGAAATTGAGAAGTTAAGATCTGAACTTGACCAAATGAAAATGAGAACTGGCTCTCTAATTGAACCCACTATATCGAGGTAACATTAAGTTAAATGTTTATTTATAGTTCAGCAAACATCAATGTTAATTTTCTTATACTTTTCTTCATTCCCAAGTAAAATAAGGGTCTCATATTTCTCAGTAGACATTGTCATATTTATTATCCACATTTAGAGACAACTTTCTAATTTGCAAATCATCTTTGAATATGTGCAATCAAAATATATCTGAAAATCTTTTGTGTTCTATGTACATGTATATAGTTGTAAGTGTACAAACAATTCTTTTTTTCTTTTCTTTTTTACTAAGAAATTTTCTATTCATTTTACGTATCAACCACAGATCTCCCTCCCCTCCTTCCTCCCATCCCCCAGCCTTTCCCCCATCCCAACCCCTGTTCCCACCTCCTTCAATGCAAAGCCTCCTGTGGCATGTCAGCAGAGCCTGATACATTCGTTTGAGGGAGGTCCAAACCTCTTCCCCTGGACAAAGGCTGTGTAACATGTCCCACCATAGGCAGTGGGCTCCATCCAAAAAGCCCACTTATGCCCTAGGGATGTATCCTGATCCCAATGCCAGCGAGCCCCTTAAGCAGATCTTAAATTAAAAATAAAACATACATATAGAGAATGCACTGTTTTCCAAGAGAAGATATTAAATTTTTCTTTTTGTTTTCATTAAGTTACTTTTTTTCCTTTTATTGAAAATGCATCTCTTCTCACATAATATATCCTGATTATGGTATGATCTCCCTCCCTCTACTCCTGTCAATTCCTCTCCTTTCCCATCTGGATCCACCTCCTTTCTGTCTCTACTTAGAAAATAAAAAGGCCTCTAAGAGGTGAAAATATATAATATTATAAATTTAATATAATAAGATAAAACACAAACTAACACATTAGAAGAGGGCAAAGAAACAAACAAAAGGAAGAAGCCCAAGAAAAAGCACTAGAAATATATAGAGATGTATAGAATAGAACATTATACACACACACACACACACACACACACACACACACACACATATATATATATATATAATCCTAAGGACCCGTGCAGGTCCTATACATGCTACTTCAGTCTCTCTAAGTACGTATCAATCCTATTGATATTAGAGGGTCTTGTATCTTTGGTGTCCTCAATCTTCTTTGGTTCTTCAATTCTTTCTACCTCCTCTTTCATTGAGTTTCCTGAGCCCTTAGGGGAGGGACTTGATAGATACATCCCATTTAGGGTTGAATATTCCAAGGTTTCTCATTCTCTGCATATTGTGTGGCTGTGAATCTCCATATTTATCCACATTTGCAGCAGGAGGAAGCTTTTCTGATGATGGCTAAGCAAGGGACTGGTCTATGACTATAGCATAATGTCCTTAGAGTCATTTTATTGGTATTTCTTTTGGTAGAACAGTAGTGTTTGGTTTTGGCCTAGGTCAATGGGCTATTCAGTCTCTGGTTCTTGATCAACAAGTGGCATCAGGTATGGTCTCATCTCATGCTCTGGGCCTTAAGTCAAATCAGATGTTGGTTATTCCCACAAGTTTTGTTCTACCATTGTACTAGCATATCTTGTAGGCACATCACCCCTGTAGATCAAAGGTTTTGTAGCAAGGTTGGTAGTTAAATTTTTCTTTTGATAGTGTGCAGAGTACCTTCTTGTGCCAAAAAATACTAGAAGCTGTAGGTGAAGGTTCAGTGTAGGCACCAGTTCAACTCTCCCATGTTTAAGGAGTTGTATAGATATTGTCTTCAGCATTAGGGATTTGCTGTCAGTTTCTGGAGAACAACCTAGCTATAGTCTTGGAAACAGCCTGGGTTGTTTGTAGTTGCCCTGGGAACCCTTTGGCTAACAATTCAATTAGAGGTAACCCAATCCCAGTACTGGAAGCTTCATTTGGTGACAAGAGATGTCCAGTTGGGGCTCTGTCTTCCCTATTATTTGGCAATTTCCTTTATATCACCTTCATATATATGCATACACACACACACACACACACACACACACACCACACACACACACGTGTGTGTGGTGTGTGTGTGAATATATGTGAATGTATGATGTATGTTGTGGTTGATATATTATGCACCCAAATAAACTTATTTGAGGGTCAGAGAACAGAACAGCCACTATATTAAACATAGAGGTTAGGCAGTGGTAGCTCATGCCTTTAATTCTAGCATTCTGGAGGCAGAGATCCATCAGAATCTCTATGAGTTCAAGGCCATACTGGAAACAGCCAGACGTGGTGACACACACCTTTAATACCAGCACTTGAGATCTCATGTCTTTCTTGGGAAAGACACATGCATTTAATCCTAGGAAGTGATGGCAGGAAGCAGGAAGGTATATGAAGGCAAGAAGACCAGGAACAAGAGGCTTTTAAGCTTTTAGGCTTTTAGCAGCAGTTCAGCTGAAATCCATTCAGATGAGGACTCAGAAGCTTTCAGTTTGAGGAAACAGGATTAGCTGAGAAGTTGTCGAGGTGAGGTTAGCTGTGGCTTGTTCTGCTTCTCTGACCTTTCAGAATTCACCCCAATACCTGGCTTCCAGGTTTGTTTTTGTTAATAAGACCATTTAAGATGCTTGCTACAGTGTGCATATGCATATATACACATATACATATATACAGATATGTGAATATATGTGTGTATATGCATATAGTTGGAGACAAATTTCTAAATGGTCTTATTAAATAAAAAATAGGGAGCCAAATATAGGGATGAAAGCCTGAGAGATCATGGAAATAGAAAAAGCCACCAGCCAACCTTAACTCATCAACTCTGCAGCTTCCAAATGCAAGTTAACTCTTGTGTACCCATACCTTTATATGCCTTGCTTTTCTGCCCTCTCATTGGCTCTTAGCCCAGCTACCTCACTTCCTTGTCACAGCCTGTCTATACAGACCTCCAGGTCTCTGTGGTTGGTACTGGGATTAAAGGCGTGTGTGTCACCACACTTAGCTCTGTTCCCTAGTATGGCCTTGAACACAGAGACACTGCCTGCTAAGTGATAGGATTAAGGGCATGTGCTGCCTGACTTTGTTTATTTAAAATGGCTGGCCTTTTCCCCTTGATCTCCAGGCAAGCTTTATTTATTGAAGCACAAATAAAATATCACCACATATATGTATATGAAGATTCTACTGTATTAGGTCTCTATACTACTACCCTTCAAGTGTTTCTTAATTATAGCTGTCTCTTACCATATTCCCTCCCTCATCACATCTTCCCTACCCCTCCTCTCTTGATCCAGTACCATCTTCCATCCATCCATAACTATCTATTTTATTTTCCTTTCCTATGGAAATGTATCTGTCCCCCCCTTACTCTCTTACTCTATACCTATCCTCTGTGGTTCTTTGGACTGCAGCTTGGTTATTATTGCCTTAAGAACCAATATTCACATTTAAGTGAATATATACCATGTTTGACTTTCTAGGCCTGGTTTACTTCACTCAGGATAAATTTTTTTCTAGTTACATCCATTTATCTGAGGGCTTCATGATTTTAGTTTATTTTAACTGCTTGTTAGTATTCCATTGTGTAAATGTACCACAATCTTTTGGTCCATTTTTCTGTTATTGGGCATCTAGGTTATTTCTAATTTCTGACTATTATGAGTAGAGTAGCAATGAATATTATTGAGCAAGTGTATGTCCAAGAACGTTATTTCAAGATCCTGATGTAGATTAATTCCCAGCTTTCTGAGGAATCATGACACTGATTTCCATAGTGTCTGTACAAGTTTACACTCTCTCTAGCAATGTATGAATCTTCCTCCTCTTCCTCCATCTTCACTAGCATGAATTTTTGATTAATCTTAGCCATAGTGAAGGGTAAAAGATGAAACCTCAAGGTAGTTTTGATTTGCATTTCCCTGATGACTAAGGACTTTCAACATTTCAAATATTTCTTAGCCATTTGACTTTCTTTTTTGAGAATTCTCTGTTTAGATACTCCATTTTTAATTGGTTTTGTTGATTTCTACTTTGTTGTTGTTGTTGTTCTTTATATATTTTGAATATTATCCCTCTATCAGATCTGTAGCTGGTTAAAAATCTTTTCCTACTTTGTGACCTGTCTCTGTCTGAATGACATTGTGCTTTTCTATGCAGAAGTTTTTCAGTTTCATGAGGTCCTAATGATTAATTGTTGATCTTAGTAACAGTGCTAATACTGTTCTATTCAGAAAGTTTTTCTTGTGTCAGTGAGTTCAAGGCTATCACTTTCTCATCTATCAAGTTTAGTGCATCTGGTTTAATGTTGAGGTCTTTGATCCATTTGGAGTTGAGTTTTGTGCAAGGTGATAAGTATGGATCTGTTTGGATTCATCTATAGGCATCCATCCAGTTTGACTAACACCTTTTGTTTTTAGATGGTTTCTTTTTTTCCACTGTTTATTTCTGGCTTCTTTATCAAAAATCATGTGTCCATAGGTGCATAAATTTATGTCTGGGCCTTCAGCTTGATTCCACTGATTGAAGTGTCTGTTTTTTCTTAATGTGTCCAAAGCAGAAATGTGAGAGATCCTTATAGTGACTGAACAAATATTTTCTTGTTTTAATCAATTGAAAATTAATATGGGAACTGGAATTACATATGAAAAAGAAGCCTTCATTGGAATTTAGCAATGCTCACCTCTTCTATCATACCATCATTAAAGAAAGAAGACACAAGATTATCAGTTAGTAGGTTGATGATTATATATGACAATAGATAGCTCCATTTGACAATAATATATGTATAATTTGGTTTTTCTCTGTTTACTAAGACAAAATGAAATTTATTCAGCTATATATTTTTTAGGAAGCACATAATGATAACATTTGAAACTTTTGTCAATAAATGCTTTACAGAATTCCACTTTTTTTTAGAATATTCTCTCCACAAGAGCAAAAAATTGTGCCTGCTTTGCTAATAAGTGTGTCCATGGCACCTCACAAACTCTCTGGCCTATAGTATGCTCCTGGTAAAATGAATGATTATATAGAAATTCATGTTTCACATGACCAGATAAAATCTAAACTAAAAAGTTCCTA